TTCTTGGACGTTGGGCTCATATGTTCATATGAGCTAGTGGGCTAATCCCATCTTTTCCCTATATATATATATATATGTTTGCACACTCGGACTATTCTTAAGATCGTACTTGAACATCTAAGCCATGAATTGCAATTCATTGTCTTTTTCTTGGACAGCATATTTTCTGTTAAAATAGAAGTGCAATGTTTTTATGAGATATATGGGTTGGCATATACTCGAGTGACATCCTAGATCATAAGTTTTGTTAAATGTAATCTTCTCAATTTTCTAATGGTCGTTGGTTGTTGGAAGTTTGGTGTGTTTTACGTCTACAATCATCAGTGTCTTGAAATGTGTGGCAGCTATACAACTAAATTTATTTGGGTTTACTTGCTGTGGATGGTAATTATATATTTCAAGAAAATATGAGTAATAATTGCAGTCAGATAAAGGAGAAATATGACTTGACTGAAGGAATAGTTAAGGACGATTCACATCATTATTTTTTTACAGATATGAGTAAGTACAAGGCCATCCTAATCAACTAACCTGGGATTATAAATTGTAATATGCTGCTATGATTGGGTCAATAATCACCCTAGTTGAGGTTCCTTGCCCAACTTTCCATTTTCCAATTGCCATCAATGGTGTTGAAGTTTTTGGAAAAGTTGCACAGAGAATAAGTAGAAAGGCTCAGAGGTATATACTTTTAGTTTAATGGAAGTTCTTTTGTTTACTACTAATAACCACTCTTGCTTGCTTAGTGAAAAATGGAAGATGGTTTTCTTGATTGAGAACTCCGAAAGCTTCAGTATTAAGGGTTTCTATGTTTTTGTTTCTTTCTTTTTTATTCAGCATCAGTTAGTGAATTATGGGATTGCCTGCACAAGTGCATGATTAATTTCATGCCATGGTTTAGTGATTCAAGTTTGAATTGATTGGCTTTCTATTAAGAGAGTTTCCTAGGATGAGCCTTTTTATTGGTCATGTCTGGGCTCCAACTCTTCGAAAGTCTGGTTTTAGGCGGTGTATTTATGAGAAGGGAGAGATTTGGAACCATTGGCTCGACCTATATGATGCTCCCTTAAATAATTGACTTAGGTGGAGAGACTTACTTCCACTTAGGTCATGTCATTTTCTGGTGGGCCCTGCTATCTCGTCATCATTGTTCATCCATTGATTGGATGTCAATGACATTCATGCCAAAGATTTTGTGTGGTCATATGGATCTTAGTTTGCTTTGCCTTGTGTAATTGTCTTTCCCCTTTCTCTGGGGATACGCAGAAAGTGGAATGTTTCTTTGTGTTTAGTATAGCCTCAGAAAGAAATATCAAGGATTTTCTAATTTTCAAATTAAAATGAAAATAAACAATTGCTCTTATTCAAGATAGAGACAAATATCATTCTTGGGTGTTTATTGGTGAGGTACTTTATCAAAAGATTTGATCACTTTACCACTTCAACCTAAATGCAAAGTATCATCTTGTTTTATTGAATAAGTTTTGGGAAAATATCATTAATATGGTCAAACCACCTAAAAAAATCAATTAGGGAGTTACATAAACAAATTTACTAACAAATTGATTATTTTTTCACAATCCATTCATTTAGGCACCTCTACAAGAATTTGGTTATAAACGCCCAAATTCTCGTTGTTCATGATTTTTAATGCTCAATAAAATTAGGGCATTTTGGTAATTTGACTCTCTTAAGTCACTAGAGCTAAATGTTATCAATATGGCTGCTTGTTCTAGGTTTCAAACTTGAAACATGTTTTTCATTACAAAGTTCTATTCCGGAACATGTGGGGGCATTTTGGTATTTTAGCCTGAATTAAATGTCTTGAAACAAAGATGTAAATACCCTTTCTTGTTCATATTTGTAAATATCCTTGCTTATTCAGGTTTTTAATGCTAAATAAAGTGAAGGCATTTTTCATAATTTGACCTACTTAAGTTACTAGAGCTAAATGGTCTAAATCCTGCTGCTTGTTCTAAGTTCCAAACTTGAAAAGTGCCTTTTTCATTAAATAGTTGTGGTCTAAAACAAGTAGGGGCATTTTAGTAATTTGTCCTTAAAGTGTCTTGAGACAAAAGGATATAAATACCCTTACTTGTTTAGGTTTTTAAAGCCAGATAGGGGAAATTTTTCAACATAATGTTGAGGAGGTACCTAAATCTGAAGGAAAAGTGTATTATGCATTGGGGGCCACAATCCTATCATTGCATTGCTTGATGCATCAAACATCCATCTCAAAGATGGATGTAGTGGTGGTCCCTCCAAAAAAAACAAAACCAAGGGCCTGAAAATATTATTTAAAAAATATCATGTTTAGTCTTGAGCATTTTTTTTTTACATATCAATAATCTCCATGTTAAAATTATATTTTCCTAAAAAAACTAGGTCTAAAATCCATCTAAAAAATGGATTATGAAGGACACATCTACATATGAGTCAGTGGACTCGAAAACGCCGTTTAGAAAATGTAAATGAAATGATACTTGGAAATTAACCACTTTGTTGGTATATTAGTTTATTCAGCCACCTCATTGATTTTTTGAGGTGGTCTGCCCATTTTATTGATCATCATCATTGTAGCCTTCTCCCAATTAAGGTCTGCCCATTTTAGTGGTAGCTAGTGTGCTTGTCTTTTTGCATATAAACAATCACATGGAATTTATGTTTTATTTTATCTCGATTTTCATATTATTTCTAGTTGCTTTGTAACTTTTCACCATTATTTGCAGGGTTTGCTACACCAAAATTTGCACAGCTGTATGTGACTTCATATTATGCAGCATCGGGGGCTTCGCATTATGCAATATCTCAGATTACGAGGCGGATAGAGCGAGTAGATTCGTAACGAAACCAACATGAAAACAGGGCTTGAGGATTCACAAAGTTAAAATTATTATCCAAATGATTATGATGTACTTTTTCCTTTGATGTTTCTTTTTTTTTCTTTTTTTTGTAATTTAATGAGAACGAGCTGTATGCGATATTTTTTCATATATGGAAAGGTTTTTAATTAAGATTCAGTGCTTATCCATGTTTTGTTATCGACGAATGATGAGGTGTATGTTAAATACACCTTGTTGTAGTGTATAAGACTTTTGGATTGTCCATTTTAAAGATCAAAACTGATTAACTTGATTAGCCCATCAATGGATAAAACCCTCCCTCTTTATCTCCACCATTTTCACCCCTCCAGCTTAGAATCTACCCCATTGTACCTCCTTCACATTGCACCTCTTTTGTGTGCTGCCTTTGACAAGAATCCAAAGACATGGCTAAGAAATTGAAGCCCCAGACCATTTATTGGGGACTCTACTTGGAATGTCCTGACCCAACAGCTTCATTACCCATCTTTCCAATTAGGGTGTCCCATCCAACAATTGATTGATCTTTTTGAGCTGAGTCTCTGGTTTTGTCTGTCTATCATGAAGATCTTGAAGTTTCAAAACTCACCAAGCTGAGCAGCAAATTGGAGTCTAGCCACTTGACGTCGTGTTGAAAGGCTTCCACCACTTTCCCCATCATCATTTTCGCCACTAAAAACTCCTAAATGACCCTGGTCCCTCATGCATTGAAGAGGGAGTAGTTGCAGAAGCCCCTCCATATGCATCCTCAAGCTCTTGAATATTAGTATCATCTTCATCTTTCTCTATGAAGATTTTTTTGGGGGGAGTGAAATCCTCATCCATTTGATAATCCACTTGAATGGAGGAGATGCCATGGGGAAAGTATATGGAGCTTCCTATCCTGTCCTAGATTCTGCTCTCTTTGGCCAAAGATTCTCAATATTATCAATATTGCTTAGAACGAGGAATTGCAGAAATTAGGGTTTCAAGGAACAAGAGGCGTGGCGAATTATGGCACAAACCCTAGAATTTACAGAGAGGGACAGGGGCTTGTGAAGGGAGAGAGTGGGAGGTCTTGCAGTAGACTAGAGAGAGTGAGCTCTGAAAACAAATCCGTTAAATGAAAGAGATTTCCAACAAGAAAGGGTAAAAGGACTCATATGCACTATATATATATATATATATAATTGTGTAAGTTAATACTGCATATTTACATATAGAGGATCATTTTGCTTTTTCATTTCATTGCAATTTGTTTTTTAATTGCTTTAAGGCATATGGATGAACGTGCAAGTTAATACTGTATATTTACATACAGAGGATCATTTTGCTTTTTCATGTCATTGCAATTTGTGTTTTAATTGCTTTCCATATGGATGAACATGGCAATGCTCTCTAAATGCAAGATAACAGTTGGTTTGCTGTCCATAAGGCAATGCACTGTTACTCGATACTCCAATCCCATGCTATGCATTGCTTAAGAGAATAAAGAAGGAAGAGAGAGAGAGAACTCGTTGGAAAGGAAAACTATTGTGTAAGCATCACGAAATATCTGCATTTGAAATCTAATTGGGAAAATGTTGTTCTGATCTCAAAAAACCTAGACAGATCATATGCATTGATACCATAGAAAAAGAACAAGAAGGGATTTCAAGCCCCAAAAAGCTCTATCTTGCATGTTGGAACAATATTTTTGGGCCATCCGTTTCAAGTGTGTTCAAAGATATGTCACTAACTTTAGAGCTTCAGATTCCACCATGACATGGGAAATAGATTTGCGGGCCATCACAAAGTATGCAACTGCCATATCAAGTTTTTCCATTGGGTTTTTGAGTGGCTTTAGAAATCTCATAAAGCAGTTTTTCCCTTGGGTTTTTGAGTGGTTTTATGAAATCTCGTAAAGCAATGACCATACAAGCATCGAAACCTCATCTTTTTTTAAAAAGGATTGTATATTAATTATAGAAAAAATATCTCCATACTTTTTATTTTTAAGTTTCATTTCACAGTAGACTTAAAGTTTTAAAAGACATTTTAAGACATAAAATTTGTAGATTTTGTAAATTTGTAGATTTTAAAAGACATGCCATTTCTAAAAACTCATGCCATTTCTAAAAACTATCTCCCAAACTTTTAGAGAGAGATAAGAGCTTCATGGAGGTAAGAGATTACCGAGACGAGAGAGAGACATTTGAAAAAATACGAAAGGAGAGAGAGTGAGAGACGCAAGAAGAGAGAGAAGTTTAAGGTATATAAATAAAAAGAAAAAAGATTGAATTTAAAAAAACCATATATTTCTCACATTTGTTTAAGTTAAAAAATAAGTTTAAAGTAGTCAAGGTATTAGAAGATATTTTTTGAAACCCTGGACTTATCAAAAAATAAAACCTAAAAATGAAAGATATGGAGATATTTTCCCAATATTTATAAGCCCTTTCATATTTAATACAAATACGTCTTGAAAAGTCAGAAGCACACCCTAAGCAGCTCAAACTCGCACCAAGGGACTAAGGATGGTTATGACTTTCTTTGTACTAAAAACAAATGGTCTTTTATCGTATACTTTTCCTTTTAAAAACAACAATTACTAGCAATAACGCTTGTCAAATTCACATTAAGTATTGTTATTTTGAACCTCAATCTCATCTTTCACTAAAATGGTAAGAAAAATGAATAAGTATATCCTCAAGATATCAAGGACGCAAGCTTGTTTTGCCTATAACACCTCATGGATTTTTTTTGTCGTTCATCACAGAAATCTGCTACAGTATGTTAAACTCCCCAGGCCTATTGGACTTTTTATGTATTGAGAGATAACCCATAGGAGAAAAAAAGAGATTGAGATAAATGATAGTGAGCTGCTATTGTATGTCACACTTATATACATTTAGTTCATTAGAAATCTCTGCACAAGTGAGAATTCCAAAAAGTTGGCTTCATACCTCAAGAATAAAGCCGCCTTTCATGAAATAATAGATATTTCCCACATTTTGCATAGCAACATGAATAACCGTAATTTCGTAAAAAGACATGAACCAAACACGGAAAATCATCTTGGTTAAAAACAAATCTTTCCTAGATAGAGATTTCCGACAAACGAAATGTACCCTCAAGAACATATTTAGCATATCAAATAATACAATATTATGCAAATATCCATTGTGGGATGTAAACTTCACCCCTTTTGGCTTTTTTTTTTTTTTTTTTTTGAATATTCCTCAACATAGAATTCTATATTCTACTACCTCTCCATCCAGGTCATGTGACAAAATATATAATATAACATATATATATATATATATATATATATATATATATATATAATTTTATATTAAATAATAATTATACAAATATGTCTAGCCATATCAATTTTTAAATTAAACTACTAAACAACATCACTTGTAGTATCCACGTAACACAGCTGAGATGTACCCACAGATCAATTTCAAACTTCAAAGGGAGAGAGAAATGGCAGTAAATGAAAGGATAAGGAACTTGTATGTTCTCTAAATTAAAGAATAATAGAAGTTGCCTTCTCATGTGCTATAATACATACACCACATAACGAAATAAAGGTTTAAATAAGCTTAGCCAAAAAAATAAATGCAGGCCTTAACAACTTGATGAAACTGATCCTAACCTTCAGATTGCACACAAGCTGCTGAATTTCGACTCATCTCATTCAATATGCTGCGAAATGTACTATGATCAGAGGTGTTCCTAAAATCAGGCAGAAACTCTGAGAAAAAGCGGAGAACTGATGCCAAGTGTTGTGGGTCATTGGAAGCCATTGCTGCCTCAAGAAACAATGAAGGCCGGATGGTATTAACCTGCACAATGTAAAGGTTCTCTTAATCTTGGCTAAATTCTCTGATGATATGAAGGGACAAATGTCATAAAACCTTTTATCATTTTTATAGTTAGTTTTGACATTGTAACAGAGATGCAAGCACATTACTAGATTCCCATGTGGTTAATTGGGATTTGAGAACTAAATTATACTAGAGAGAAGGCCCCCAAGATAATAAATAACCAAAGACATGAGAGAGATCGAAGAATTAATTTTGACCCAATTCTTTAAATTTTGTGATCCATCAAAAGACAAAAAAGTAAAAAATAAATAAATAAATGAAGCATGAGAAGAAAGGAAAGGAATCTGAATCCACACCTTATTTCTCCGCACATAGCGTATGGCTTCCAGATAATATCCATCTTGGAGTAGCATCAGTACATAGTCGTTATGGAGCAAGAGCTGCCTCAGCATATCCATACCCAACTTCCTTGTAGGTAAATTATGGCGACCTGACTCCAAGAGTTGCAAAGCAACTTCCTTTGAAGGCTCTAGGATCTGTATGAAAACCAAACCGCAACATAATATCTGCTCTGACTGACTCTTGCCTTAAATTATGGTGACATAGTTTTCTTCCCCAATGGAAGGCCAATTAAAGAAGAAATTAGAAACCCCAAGCGCATGTGAGGCACTCGAGTTGATGGGGTTACAATAATTTTAAGCACATATAACACCAACTTTTCACAAACAGAGCCATTGATGCATTTGCTATCAGAGATACATTTTCCAATACTAGTAGATACAACAACTGGAAAACTTACCAAGCCTACAGATAAATTTAAAATAAAAAGGAATGCAATTCCCAGCAGGATGACATATGGGTCACTTCACCTTGTTAACAACAAACAGTTGGATTTCAGCATAACGGTCATTGCGGGCCAGAAGTTGTATAATCAATATGTTAAGACTTGGGTGAACTTTGAGCTTTTCCAGAGCTGCACTGCAAAACAGAAGAACAAAGGAGAAATAAGATGATTGTTTTGATCAGAGGAGATTATCCTGCTTATAATGTAGTGATTAGTTTCTTTTTTCTTGGGTAAAATATCATTTTTATGAGCTGAAGTGAACTGAATGCATCCTCCCACATGCAATGAATCCACATGCAATAAATCTCAGCCATACGAAGGAAAGTTTGGAAACTGCAATTTCAAAATGCCTCTGCAGAAATATTTCCTATTATATGCATTCCACTTGATCATCAAGGCTTGCCTAGTTCCAGAAATGGACTACAGAAACCATGGTTCATTGGGGTCACCACCATTCAGTGACTTGCACAGTAATGTAAAGAGAGTATGTCCCACCACCTGACCTGTGTCATGACCTATTCTAGTGGTCTTGTTTTTTCTTTGTATATTCTATTTTAGTTGGGATAAAGCACAGATGATGCTGATGATGATGATGATGCTGATGATAATAATGATGATATTCTACTCTAGTGGGTCACGCTGCCTCTGAAATGCCTCCAACAGACTACATATTTCCAGAGTCCACTAGACCATACTATACTTTGACTTCAACATAAAATAACACATTTTCCATATGCTTTACCTCCGAAAGTATTCTACAATAACTGCAACCAAATAGGCAGGGTCCCCAGCCATCTCTTCCTCAACAAGCGCGAAGACAGAAATGTACATCTCATTTGGTGATACTGTCACACTAGGAGCTTCAAAACTTTGTGGGTCAGAAACACCAGAATCCAAAGAATCACCATTGGTTTCACCACTGTCAGACTTTATGGATGCCTTCTCATTGTCTGGATTCGAAGTTTCAGCCTCTGAGTAGTTCTTCCTCGGCCCTTTTAATTTAGAAACTGAAGGATCACGAGGATTAGAAATAGCATGAGGTTCTTCCAAGTTGGAACTAACATGTTCTAAGTTTACACTGTCCTCAGAGTCAGAAACTGATGAGGTTCTATTGAGATGCATAGGATGGCGTTCCACTTCTCTAGTTGTAGCTTCTTGCTTGATACCCGAACTTGTTACCTCAGTGCTAGAAATATGTTGCAGACTAGAACTAGTTGCCCCAGTATAAAAAGCACTTCGTTGAGAAGTAAATCTGGATCCCCTCTGTAAAGAGCTTCCTAATTTCAAAGAGTGCGAGTATGAAGAAGATAACACACCCATTGCCTTGGCAATCATAGGTAGGGATCTCCTCTCAAGGATTGCCGTGCGCATAATTACTAAACATAACCGCTTTGCCTGAAAGGATTAATCAAATGCGATTTGCATCCAAATCAAATAGGAGAAGACAATGCATAAGTGCTCCAATAACTGCCACTAAGTAATTAGCTAACAAAATAGAATGCGAAATCAATAAGAGCGTACATCAGATCAGTGTTCGCAAAATTGAACCGGAACGGTTAACATGACATGGGCCCGAAAGCGATTTAACCGGTCTAACCGGCAAACCGGCCGATTCAACCGCTCGAACCGGGCAAGTCCCGAACGATCAAAAAGTGTTGAAAAAAATAAAAAAGAGACAAAAAAAAATCTACTAAAATATGAAAAGCATATAAAGAATGTGATTAAAACAAAACACACTCAAATGAAGTTCAAAATTATTGAAAAAAATGGATTTTAACGAATCGATTGTGTCTAGGGCTATTTTTAATTTTTTTGAAAAAGATGGAAAAATATAAAAGTGAGTATCAATGACCACAATTTTTTTTAATCTTTACCATAATGTAAATAATATTAAAATAGCGTTAAAAAATCAACTTGACCAACTCTTTTTTTAAAAGAATAAAAAAAAATTAAGTTATATAAAATATAGACCATTCTTTTTGTAAATACATAGTAAATGACATAATGGTTAATAGATCTAACAGGCAACTAAATCGTATATGGTGCATTGGTTAGTGGGTTTAATAACAAATTATTTCTTTACAAAAACTTTCAAGTTCGTTTGTAGATCTAATAGGCAACTAAATAGTATATGGTGCATTGGTTAGTGGGTTTAATAACAAATTATTTCTTTACAAGAACTTTCAAGTTCCATTTATGTGAGCAAGTAAATTTTTTGAACTTCTTACCAATGTAATG